AGCGCCGAAATGGGGCGGGACGCGGGGCTGGGGGGGCCCTGGGGTACCGAAACCCCCCGGTCCCTGCACTGGGATGGAGCACCGGTATAGGGGGAGATGCTGGTGGTGATGGGAGGGGTATTAAAGGGGTTCACTGCGGGGAAAGCACATTATTGGGGTGCCCTGGGGCAAGGGTGCACTAATGAGAGTGCATTGAGGGTGTGCACTGCAGAGAGAGTGCATTAAAGGGGTTCACTGTGGGGGGGGGACCATTATTGGGGTGCATTAAAGGGGTTTACTGGGGAGGGGACCATTATTGGAGTGGATTAAAGGAGTTTATTGGGGGACAGTGCAGTAAGGGGGAGTGCACTGGGAAGAGGGTGCATTAAAGGGGTTCACTGGGGAGGGGACCATTACTGGGGTGCATTAAAGGGGTTCACTGGGGGACAGTGCAATAAGGGTGGGGTGCACTGGAGAGAGGATGAATTAAAGACGTTTACTGGGGAGGGGACCATTATTGGGGTGCATTAAAGGGGTTTACTGGGGAGGGGACCATTATTAGGGTGCATTAAAGAGGTTCACTGTGGAGCAGGACCATTATTGGGGTGCATTAAAGGAGTTTATTGGGGGACAGTGCACTAAGGGGGTGCATTAAAGGGGAGACAGTGAAGGGGCATTGAAGGGGTGCCCTGGCAATGGGGTGTCTCTGGGGTGCAGGGACAAACAGCAGCAGCCCCACAGCTGCATGGGGGGGTTTGCCCTACCCCGGGTGAGCCCCCGGGTCCCTGTGCACTGCCGAGGGGGGTCTGTGTGTATTCCATCCCCCCAGTTCCTCCCATTCCCAGCTCCTGAGGCAGGATGCCCTTTCCTGGTCTGTCCCACACACCCCGGCTCCCCCCGCCCGCAGCCTCCCCTTTTCTCTCCTCCCTTAATAATCAAATTCTCCGGAGCACTTTGCGGTGTGGCAGCCAGCCAGAAAGGGTTTCTTTAAACTCCACCAGCTCACAATTAAACAAATCCGGGGCTGACGCTACTCGATAGGCGCTTATTCCCCTCCCTGAGAGCTGCCGGGGGATCCGGGGGGGTCCAACCGCTTCGTTCCCAGCTCCGATAGCGCCTCACGCTATGGGGCAGGGTTGGGAGCGGGTTTCGGGGTGGGGAGTGGGGTGTCCGCGGTGCCAGCGGACCGAGAGTGCTCTGATGGCGGAGCATCCCCCTGCGAGAGCGCGATGCTATTTTTAGTCGCTGAGTCCTTGTTGATGGAGCAGCCGGAGGAGCAGCAGGGCTGGATCAGCCCCCGCGGGATGAGCAGCAGCTGGGAAGGGAGCGAGGCCAGCGTGCAGGGACACGGGGGACGCCTTGTGCCCCATGGAGCTGAGGGGCTGGGGGGCTTGGGTGCTTACCGAGGGTGCCTGCCATCCATGGGAGTCCTGGGCTGCCTTCAGAGGGCTCCGGATCCGGCCATGACACGGCCCTGGCAGGCAGGAGGAAAGCGAAGGCAAGGGGAGAAGGCAGGGAAGGAAGGCAGGAAAG